CGCCTTAGGCATGAAAGGTGGCTGGGTGACTCTGGGCCAATCACCAGCAGACTGGGAATTCTAGTCCCACCTTAGGCATGAAAGGTGGCTGGATGACTTTTAGCCAGTTACACACACTCTGCTCCGTGCCCACTTCACAGGGTGGTTGTTGTGGGTGGAAAAAAATAAGAAAAGGAAGGTGCGTTGAGTTGTTGTTCTGTCTCAAGTTGTTTCTAAAAATAATAAAGGAGGGTAAATAAAAAATCAAATCCTCCTCCCAAAACTAGGAAACAGAAACGACAGGTTCACCTCTGTCCCTTCCAGGGATGTCATGTACAGCCTTTAGCTGAGCCAGGAAATGAGTGGTGAACTCTGACCAAGGAAAAATTGGCCCATTCCGGTTCTAGGCAACACGATCCATTCAATGCGGTCCCTTGGGCTGGTGGGATTTTGAAGACTGTGCTATGATCTGTCCCAGAGAGTTGTGACCATCTGCAGTTCTTTTGAAGTCACAGAATTTGAGGCATAGGCAGTCCACCCCCTTGCAAACTGTAGACCTGTGGTGTTAATTTTCCTGCCTTTTGGGCTTCTAGGTGAATAAGATGCCCCTGCGTCCCCTGGACCCTGTCCGTTTGAGCACGATGAACTGTGGACCGGACTTCACGCCCTCTTTTGCCAATCTGGGCCGTCCAACCCCATCCAACCGTGGGCCGGTAAGTTCCTTTGGGGCCTTATCCTGGTGAGGCGTTTCCTGCCCTCGGGGGTCTGCATGATGAACTCTGAATTAGTGCCATCGTGTCTGGGCCACTGATGCTCTGTGATGGAACCGAGGAACTGATCTGGCAGGCCATGTTGTTGTAACTGAACGCAGCTGGAGGGAAGAATAGCTTCCAACTATGGAGCCCATGCTTCTGTTCAGCAGGCTTGTTTCAGCAGTCTTTGCAAAATATTAATCTCTCTGTCTCCCTCTCTCCCTCCCTCTCTCTCTCTCTCTCTCTCTCTCTCTCCCTCTCTTTCGCTCTCCCTTCCTCCCTCTCCCTGTCCTGCATCACAGCCGGCTGGGCCAGGACAACGGCGTTCCCAGCAAAGCCTGCGGAAGGAACCCCGGAAGATTATTGCCACGGTGTCTCTGAATGAAGACGTCAAGTTGAACAAGGCTGAGAAGGCTTGGAAGCCCAGCAGCAAGCGGGCCAGTGAAGTAGAAGACCCTGAGAATATAAAAACTCAGGTACACATCCATCTGTCAATCATCATAGAGCCGGAAGGGACTTCTTGGAGGTCTTCTAGCTCAAGCAAGAGACCCTATACCCATGATGGCGAACCTATGGCACGCGTGCCACAGGTGGTGCACGCAAGCCATTTGTGCCGGCATGCGAGCTGCAGGAAAAGTTACCTCACTGTGCATGTGCGCACCTCACAGCTGATTTTTGGCGGGTTTGAGGCCTTTTTCGGCCTCCCAAAGGCTTGAGGAAGGCTTCTGCAGGCTTTGCAGGCTGAAAACTAGCCCTGTGTCATCACTTCCTGTTTTTCCGAAAATCCAGAAGTGATGGAACGGGGCTAGTTTTCAGCCTGCAAAGCCTGCAGAAGCCTTCCTCAAGCCTCTGGGATGCCGAAAAAGGCCTCAAACTGGCCAAAAATCAGCTGTGAGGTTCAGTGCAGGTAAGGGGGGGGCGGGGGGGTTGGGATTGCCCGCGCATGCGTAGGGGACGTGGGGGTGGGGGCGCACATTGCCTTCTGGGTGCTGGCACGCAAATGCGAGCATGAGCACAATTTTTGGCACAGGAGCCCAAAAAGGTTAGGCACCACTGCCCTATACCATTTCAGACAGGTGGTTGTCCAGTTTTTTTTCTTAAAAACCTCCAGTGACGGAGCCCCCACAACTTCTGCAGGCAAACCTTGTTCCACCGGTTAGTTGTCCTCACTGTTAGGAAGTTTCTCCTTAGTTCCACATTGCTTCTCTCATGGGCTTTGGGACCTCTTGCTGCAGCTGAGGCTGTTTTAGAGCTTTTATCTCTTCTTTGCTAGCGCCCCAGAGGGGGTAGTCTTTAGGCTGCCATCTTGGATCGCAGAGATTTTGATTTAGGGAAGTCAGCTGTTGGTTTCCATTTGTTCAGAAGGTTTCTAAAGATGAGATCCCAGACAATATTCAGAAATAGTCTATTCTCTGTTGGGAGTGGGTTTCCCAAGTGTGTCGGCAAGAAAGAAGGTTTGAGATGTGCTGACCGAGGGTGACCTGAATAAGCCATGGCTGAAAACTGGAAGAAATTAGACTTAGGCAGTTGGATTGTAGCTCTCAGCAGGAAGATAGAAGGAAAGAGGTAGGATAGAAAAATGTGAACACAAATCCAGCATTCTGATGTAGCTGCTGCCTTCTTGCTTTTACAGCCCATACAGTCCTATTCAGGTAGTCCTCGACTTAACAACCGCTCATTTAGTGACCGCTTGAAATTGCAGTGGTACTGAAAAAAAAAGTGACTTATGACCATGCTTCCCACGACCGTTGCAGCATCCTCGTGATTACGTGATTGACGTTCGGGGTGTGTGACAACTGGTTCATCTTTATGACAGTTTTAGTGTCCTGGGGTGTCCCCTCTTGCAATCTTTTGACAAGCAAAGTCAACGGGGAAGCCAGGTTCACTGAACCAAGCCTGTTACTTACTTAACAACCTCAGTGATTCGCTTAACAAATGTGGCAAGGAAAGTCGTAAGTCTCACGTAATAACTTTTATCGTCACTTTGAATGTTGTGCACGGATCGGCATACGTTACAATGAAATTTCGTTGCATGCAGCTCTCAAGGGGGCCCCACCTCCAATATGCACTACATAAGCACGACTAACTGACTAAATAAATAAATACAAAACCATGCATAGACTCACATATATTATTCTATGACTCGGAGAAAACCGACACGGTCTAGTTCAGATGTAGACCCGCACATGGCAAGAGAACCGAATCTTGCAAGTTTGCCAGACGGATGGCAAGCAAAGCTTTTACAGAATCTGGTAGTCCTGTTAGAAATACTTCGAACCTTCTTCCCAGAGGGGAGCAACAGAAAGAGGCCAGGAAGTGTGTGCGTGTGTGTGTGTCTGTCTGTCTGTCCATGCTTTGAGCTCCAAGCACATAGCGCTTATAAGCAGCATCCTGAATGACAGCATCCCGTTCTTCCCTCTTCCCGCAGGAGCTGTTCCGACGTGTGCGCAGCATTCTCAACAAGTTGACGCCCCAGATGTTCCAGCAGCTGATGAAGCAGGTCACCGAGCTGTCCATTGACACGGAAGAACGTCTCAAGGGCGTCATTGACCTCATCTTCGAGAAGGCCATCTCTGAGCCAAACTTCTCCGTTGCCTATGCCAACATGTGCCGTTGCCTTATGGGGGTAAGTTCTCCAGGAATCAAGGCCCACCAGTTCTCACAGGGGTTACACACACACACACACACACCCCTCCCCTTTCTAATGCACGGTGGATTCAAGTGCCTTCCAGAATCGGGTGTGGAGATATTGATAACTGATGGTTGTAGCCCAATTGTCACATACAGCAGTGGCCCCCAACCTTTTTTGTGCCACGGCCCGGTACCGGCATCACGAAATGATCCGCGGCCCGGTACCAGCATCAGCACGCATGACAAGGCAAGGCGAGCCGAGTGACCGGCCAGCCAGCCGTCCCCCCGCTTCTCCCCGCCACCTTCAACTCCTCCTCTGTACCTTTTTTGTGCTTTCTTAATCTCCTCCGCCATCGGGATGGCTCTTCATTCGAAGCTGCCCCCCCTTCGATGAAACTAAGGCGCGAGGATTCCTTCAGGACCCAAACGCCGCTTTCCAATCGGAAAAGCTCACCCGGAAGCACTTTCTCGTCGAAACAAGATGGCGGTGCCCAGTAAACCGGCGGCCCGGTAGAAAATGATCCACGGACCGGTACCAGTCCGAGGCCCGGTGGTTGGGGACTCCTGACATACAGCATCTCCACTGAGAACAGGGTTTCCCAACCTTGGCCATTTTAAGATGTGTGGACTTCAACTCCCAGAATTCCCCAGCCAGCATGTCCACACATCTTAAAATGGCCAAGGTTGGGAAACCCTGACTTAGATACTATAGGTAAGTGGGGAAGGCCCTTCCCAAAATTTGGAAGTCCCCAATAACCGAGTTGCTAGAAGTTACCTAGTTCAAGAGTTTCCCAACCCTGTCCGTGGCTTATGACTTGGGCCTGTTCAGAACTGGGCCGTGAAAGTGGCAGGTGAGCGTTGTGCACAGAGCTCCAATTGTGAGAACGGCAAGTACACTTGCCCACCGCTTGCACAAATGGAGCTGAGCCTGTGGGCACCTGGACCCATTCCTTCTCTTCCTCCTCCCACCGGTTTGCAAAGCTGGAAAGGTTTGAGGCCGCTGTCTTAGTTGGCTCTACCACAACCGGTAAAGCTTGGCTAGCGTTAATCCAAGTTAGGATTTTTGTGGCTAATGCATGTGTATCGGTGTATTTGCGAACCCTAAAAATGGATTCATTTGATAAGCAGGCTAATGTTCTATGAGCATAATCCATACGTTGTGATAGGATTGCGGCCCGATAATTGTAATGTCTTGTATGTGGCGCTTGGACCAGTGAGCATCTAGCATCTAGGAGAGCTGCTCTTAAGGCTGTGTTCTCATGGTGATCCTCAACTGTCTCTTTTTTAGCTGAAAGTCCCCACTACTGATAAACCTTCCACCGTGGTGAATTTTCGCAAGGTACTCTTGAATCGCTGCCAGAAAGAGTTTGAGAAAGACAAGGATGATGATGAGATTTTTGAGAAGAAGCAGAAGGAGATGGATGAAGCGGCTACTGTAAGTGGGGCTTAAACAGATAGCTCTGGAGCTTGGGTTCCAAGGTCTGAAAGATTCTGACATTTTCTGTTCTTTCTTTCTTTCTTTCTTTCTTTCTTTCTTTCTTTCTTTCTTTC